GCTTTATGAGTGCCGAATGATTTATAGTTCCATTTGGGCTTTGTTCTCCTGCTTTAAATTCGATATGAAAACGCACTTTGCGTGCCAGGAAAGTCAAGGTAGGAATATCCCTATTGCAAGGAGTGCAGGACCATGTTGAAATATAAGATGGTTGCTTTTTTGGCACGGCATAAACTACTTATATATAAACTACTTTGAGGAAGTACTCTCTCCTTTTAATAATGCTATATCTTCTCGATAAACGAAACTTTAGTTTATTCCAATTTTGTCGACTCATCTGGTTTAGAAAATAAATGGTTTATTATAAAACAAAATAGGTAATAAATTAATTAGTGACAAAATGATAAGTATCGATTTTAAAAAGTAGGAAGTGAACGGTCCATACCCACGGCAAATTTACAAACATTTAAATACGGGAGATTAAGACCCAGACAATGGCGAAAATATCCACCAACAGATTTATTTAAGCCACTGCTAAGTTAACGTCCTACCGCTGCAAATTTCATTTTAAGCGACTGCAAACGCTCTTTTGGCCATAATTAAAATGCCCCAACATAATGAGCCCACCGCCCCCGACTGGCCAAAACCCCTGCCAAAAGCAGAATACCCCAATCCGCAGGGATGTGGGCAATGTTGGGGTCCCAGGCCCACTGCAAAAGTCTATTAACGTACATGAAACTGTTAATTTCGCTGATGCAATTTCGGCTCAATTTATTGTGCACCCACAAAACACAATAAAAAAAAGTGAATGGGGCGAGCAAACGAGGAAAACGAGCCGAAATTGAAAAGGCAAAGTACATAACAACAAGCTGGCGGCCGACGCACAGCCCCCAAATGCCAATCCCAGGCGCGAAAATCAATATAAATATGCTCGGCACATGGTCATGGAGCCACCACGCCCCGCTTCTGCCCCAAAGTCCCTCCTTATCCCTATATCCCTGCCTCCGCAGAGTGTCTCCTCCGCTCCCCGAACATGACAATTTATGTGCATTTTGTATGCAGGCGGCTAAATAGACAAGGCTAGGCGACGTCCATACTCGCGTTGGCAGCTACACTCGAATAAATAAATACAAAATGATGCATTTCGCATTTAAAATGGCCTAAGTGAAAGCATTTTAAGTTTACGGGTTTGCTGTATTGGTTGTGTTCGTGAAATCGCCATCATGATGGAGCTCCGGATCTATCATGCAGTGATTTCTCGCAGTGTATGCGCACGCCGCTGGCTGGAGGGACGCAACATAATACAATGCCTGTGCCAAGGACACCGAGGAGCAAACACTGGCGTGCTCGTATATGCAACCCCAAACCCGTGAAAGTCCGCTCGCACGTAACGATAAAACTTGAAAATGCTGTTAGCTACGAAAATTTGCTGTTCAACTTTTTCGCCGGAGTCCGGGAGTAGGCCTAATTTGACGGTCGCCCATCGGACTCGCGCCAAAGCCCCCCGGAAAAGCCCCCTTTTTCCACACACACCCACACCCACACGGCAAGCGGAAATGCACGCACCATTGCATCAGTATCTGTGCGCATGCAATTGCAAATTTATGCACTGCGCTGTAAACAAGGCAAACATTTCCGCCGCCGAGTGTGCGAGTGCGAAATTCGAATGCGTCGCACAATTGTGAATTATTTACAGCATACTTTGGGCGAGTGGCGCGGTGACTTTGACTCGATTCGTTTCGATTCGATTGGATACCATGTGAGTCTGGTCAGCGACAAACCTAATTACAGTAGCTGGCGCCCAAACCATGTCGATGGGGGCTACGGCCTAAGGACGCAGGACGCAGGACGCAGGACGCAGGACTACGAACGTGGCTGCCTTTGTGGACTCGTTTAGCCGCGCAAATTGCTGTCCATTCAGTTAGCTTTTTAGAGTCCTTTGCCGCACGCACACCTCTGTGCGAATCGAACAGCCGGGCCACATAACTTTCGATCCCACCGCCAACTGACTTTTCAGCTCCGGCTGAAAATGCTACTGCTCCTTTTCCCCATTTCCCCTTTTTCCAGTGACCACTGTCAAGTGGACAACGTCCTGAGGCCAAAAAAGTGGCTAAAAACTGCCTGCTGCAAAATATTGTGCAATGCGCTGCCAAATAACAAAACAAAACGAGATAGAATGCTATAGTCGAGTTCCCTATAGACTATCAGATACCCGTTACTCAGCTAGTGAATGTGAAAACGATAAACACGTAAAAAAATACAACAAAACTTACATTTTTCAAACTTGTGGTAAAAAGTAAAGTAAAAAGTTGTTCGGCAAATCGATAGAAGTTTACAAGACTAGGAAAAGAGTGAAAACATACTACTGCCTGTTACATACTTTTCAACGAATCTAGTATACCCTTGTACTCTACGAGTAACGGGTATAATGAGAGTTGCCAGAAACTAGTGATGCCAACAGGCAGCATGCAACTCTGAACAGATTTGACAGGAAACGGATGAAAAGATAAGAGTTAAACTCTGAAATAAAGTTGTTCTTCTACCATTTGTCACTATATACCCTTACAACTGAATTTAAGCTTTATGCTTAAGGTTGCCCATCTTATCCGAACACAAAAGGCACTTCCATCAACCTGTTTCGTTACTGAGCAGAGATATGGAGCATTTTTCAAACTTTGAATAAATTTTGGATACAAGTCAAAATGGCAGCACTAGTAAGAACATCAAGTAATACGTCGAATACGTAATATGTGGGGTATTTTCCTGACTAGATAATTAGTACAAAGATAAAATACGTCTTATCTTCAAAATTAATTCTTTATGAAAATAAAAAGGTCATTTTTAATTATGTTACCTATTTGAAGTGTGTTGTTGAAGTTCTCTTTTCTTTTAAAATAAAATAAAATATTGAATACGTATTAAACTCTTTTCTGCACCATATAATATTACTTCTGTGCGGTGAACCTGGCAAAATAGCCATTCATACCCCGGCTTATCCCTTTTTGGCGGAGATCGAGTGTAAACAGCAACAACGAAAAACCCTTAACGGCAAATGTCGAACCTCGACCCTCGACTGTCGAACGTTGGATGTTGGTAGTTGGCGGTTGGTGGCTGGTGGCTGGTAGTTGCTGGTTTGGGCCTGCTTTTCGACGGGCCCAAATGCGTTTGTCTGTCGCTGGGTCTGCGCCTGTTTTATTTTACTTTTGCATATTTTTTGGCGTGTTTCAACTATACTGCGGCGCTGTCTCTACATTTTTCAAGTTGTCTGCGTTTGACGTGCACGGATGGGCGCTCCACTGCGTCGGTGGCGGTCGAAAGGGGGGCGAAGGGAGTGGCAGAACGGCAAGGACGGCGGCGGTTGGCGTAGTTACAGTTTTGCCCATCGAATGCTTTTCCCCGCGCTCCTTGGTGCGGTTGTGGTTCGTTGCTTGGTTATCGCCAGCGCCACTACTCACACAGCCGAAGACCACTGCCTGAACCACTACGAGTGCAGCGGCAACTGCAGATGCACTCAGAAAAAGTAGTAGTAGTGAAGTAAATTGCAGCAAATTTAAAAAGTTTTTTTCGGAAGGTGGTTTTTCTTTAAAAAATACCTTTTTAAGATATTTATCTCTTTTTAATCTTTGATTAATTTTTTATCATTACTAGAATATAATATTTAATAACCCACACAAATGTAATACTTTTTTTTCTTGCCTTTAATTTGAGATTTACTTGTGAAAGGTACCTTAATGTACCAACAATTATAAAAGTATTTGCAGACTTTTACCATGAATATATCTCACAGTCGAATGTTGATTGTTTTAACAAGATAACCCTTTATTTTCGCAAGTGCACACCAGCAGAAGCAGCAACAACTACTTGGGTGCTGTCGGTGAGCCTGTTTTTTAGTGCCTTCCGTAACCATTAAATTTTACGTTTTTATTAGCGCGCAGACACACACACACACACACACACACACGCCGAGGCGGAAGAGGCCGAGAGTTGGCAGATAGGCCGTCCCCACCCACCGAACTTTTCCTCCCACTACCACCCACTCCGCCAACCATTTTTGAATATTTCCGTTTTGGCTGGCAGTTTTCGGTTTTCGGCTTGTCTACAAAATGCAGTTTTGCATGCACTTTGGCCTCGGCGCAAAAAGTCAACCGAAAAGAGACAATAATAAGTGCACAGCACAAAGAACGAACCGAAGAAGGGAAAGAACAGCACAAAAGGTACAAAAAGTAGAGCCAAGAACATGAAAACTGAAAATTGCATTGCGCTCAGAAGTATGCTATGCTTTTTTCGCTTGCCTTATCAACGTCTCAAATCGGTTAGGGTTGATAGCAGAGGGGGGCAGGGCGGCAGCGGGGTACTGGCAAAAGTTAGTCCAGATAGCGAAATGTTGTCGCCCAACAGGACCTGGTTATTTTACGTGTTTTAGTTGCCTGCAGCTGAGAAAAAAGTAGAATACAATGCAGCCCAACACTTTAAAGCAGTTCGAGTTGCAGTCGTGGGCGGTTCCATTCGAGTTGTGGCCACTGAAAGTGGTTGCATGTTTCCTCTTCTACATGAGTGAAGTCGGATACTGCTCAAACCTTTGCAGACACCACCAATAAAGCTCAATCCCTTCTGGCCAAACAAGTTCGAACCAGCCTCGTCGAGCCCGCAACTTGTTTGGCATCCACAGCATTTGGTTGCAGGGTGAACTGGCTGAAGACACTCTTATACTCTTGAGTAAAACTCAGTTTCAACCTATTTTAATGGCTAAGCAAAATCAGAGCAATTTAGCAATACAGAAAAGTGGGTTATTAGAAACTAAATGTATATCATTTTGTAAAATGCGTCGCTCCTAAAAAATATATTAATGTATTTTTAGCCCAGAAGACCAAAGTTTTAGTTCATCAACTTTGTTTAATAGTTATTTATTTAATAACAAAATATTGAGGACTTCGCAATATAGTAGACAACCTTTTTCTGATCTAACAACAGCCTAAAGGCACATAAAAGCCTGGTTAATGGCTAAAATCGGCCTTTGTTTCGCATTACTCCGAACTAAGTAGACTAATTGTATGGTTCAACCTTTCGGAACATAAGCACCAAAATTAACCGAAACGAAAATTCAGACCCAGTCGGATTCATCCGCTTCCAGCCAGGAGCCTAACGCCGCAAGAAATAGCAAAGGACACAGGACACGATGGAGCTGTGGCATAAGCTGAGAGTCCAGTTTCATGACTTCTTCCACGTGAACTACCCGTACATAGCGCTCTACAGCGGACTGGGCGTGGCAGTAACAGCCTACTTGCACTACCAGTGGAGCGTCCACCACTACGACCTGATGTACTGGAAGCGTTTGGCGGAGGTCTTCTCGCAGGACATCGACTGCTTCCAGATGGCCATACTGCTGTTGATCTTCGCGATTAACGCCGTTTTTGTGTTCATTATCCTGAGCGTCTATCTGCGCCCGGTGCTCGACAATGGCGGGGAGATGTCCTTGCTGGAGATTAAGGATCGCTATGCCCGGTTCATTCTGCTCCGCCTGATAGCCCGCCTCGATCGCATACAGTCGAAGGTCTCCGCGAAGCGGAAGAGCCTCACCTTCCAGCACTATGTCAGGGCACACACGAACATGGTGAAGGCGGTGGCCGTGTTCCGCAAGGATGCCCGCAAGCTAATCCTGCCCAACGAGAGCGAGATCCTGATGCCCATCGAGGATATCTACGGGGTGGCCGATGACGAGGAGCGACTTCTCCGGCGATCGGGCTACTACAAACTGATCATCGACACCACCGACGAGACGGTTAAGGCTCTCTTCAACGCCAAGTTGGAGGAGATCCTGTTCCCAATCAGCTAGCTGGCTCGGTACCGATTGAAACTATGAGTAAACTGCAGTCCACCACTAATTGCCTTTATCTACTCTGCCAACCGGAGCTCCGAGAGCCCCTTCTTAAAGCCGTTTTATTGTTTCAATTGTTTGGCTTGCCAGCTTTTTATGGCCGCATTGTGCTCCGAGCCAACAATAACAGGCCAGTCGGAGACTGTCAGCCGTCCCCAACCCCCAATAACAATAATGGCTAAAGAAACAGCAGCAGAAACAGAAACAGAAGCAGAAGCAGAAGCAGAAGCAGTTGCAGAACCAGACCAGAACTAGAAACAAAACTCCAACCAGGAACAAAAACTAAACTAAAATGCCAGCCCATGTCTGCACAGCTCAAAACAATATCTAATGTTGTCTACTGCAAAATATTTTGCAAGCGTCTTTTTGTATTGCACAATTTTTGTGTCCTTCAGGCCTTTGTGCGTCTACTTTTCTTTAAAATTAGCTAAAAGGTTGTGTAAATTTAAGTCAAAGTAGGATAGCAGTGAAAGAAAAGTGTGGCAGGGGACAAAGCTTTCTTGGAATGCATCCTAGATACGAAAAGAAAAAGGACAATTACGAAATAAACGGGGCAATACCTAACTAAATTACATTTTTGGATGTTATGAAGTGATTAGTGATTTAAACAAGAGCGAAAGATATTTTGATATAAACATGCAAAAATTCGGAATCTGGAATCTGCATATCCGTTTTCTTGCATTTCGTCTTCATACGGACAAGCGAACGGACAGATAAACGGACGGATACTTTTCAATAAATCTATGAGTAGCGGCTTTAAAAATTTTGTTGAATATTTTCCCTTCTTCCAAATATGTTATTATATTTAGAGTTTGCATCGAACTCTTCTGTTAAATATTCACATATTTATTAGGTTACACAAAGCAGTAAATTTTAAACTACCTTGTCAATTATGAAGTATAATTATCGTGAGGTTTATGTATCTTATGTCTTGCCATTCAAATCTCACAGATACCCATTCAAAACTCCCATCCTTCCACGGGCTTCATTTCGATTTTTGCAGCGGCATTTCCTAGTTAAGGACTTCAAAGCAGTGAACGCTTCGCTGCGCGCCAAAAAGTAGGCAACGAAAGCCTTGGAATGAAAAGCGGAAAAAACACGCACTTTTAACTTCATTTTTGGCAGCTAATGCGCGAATGGCCAAAAAGTGACAGCCTAATTTCGGTTAATGTGCCGTGTCCTTTGCTTCTGGCCATAAATCCGCGCAGCACGTGTGTGCTGGTGCTGGTTGGCCGAAATGTGGCAAACTGCATTACTTCATTCACAATGTGGAATTCTTTCCCCATTTTTTCTCTTTTCTCTTCTTTTTTTTGATGGTGGTGGGTGGGTGTTGGGTGGGTGGCCCACCTCCAGGCGAAAAAGACATTAAGTAGATTATGGTCTGATTGCATATTTGCGGATATGCGCGCCATAAACACGTTCAGACGTGCTGCAACCGCAACATCGGCGAACGGTGGAAAACACGGCAGCGCAACAGCCGAAAGCCAACGCGAAAAAACTCGCCTGGCAGTAACAAAACAAAAATTCAAAGAAAAAACCAAAAAAAAAACTCAACAAGAGCATTAAGAGCGGGGACCAAAGAGAAAAGAATCGCGAACAAAACATGAAAACGTACGCGCATCTAACCGCAGACTAAATGACGCCTCGCCACGCCGCCCGCCTTGTAAAGCAACCGCAGCCGCCTCCACCGCGCTACACAGGGCAAAAATGTGTGCACTTACTGCACTTCGAATAAAATTTGGCTCCAACGTTCGAGAGAAACGAGATACTTCTGCTTTCTTTAGATCCTTGAAGCAAGATGCAAAAAACTTGTTTCCTAACTCGAAGCTAATATACTAACTAACTCGAAGATACATAACTTAAGTTAACAAAATATGCAACACCCATTTGGGGCATCTTTCTTATATCGCAGGTGGAAATATGCTGATTTTGCTGCCACTTTTAAAATACTTTTTAACAAGTATTTACTACCACTAGCCAGCGCTCTGGAAATTCGCCTGTCCAGCAAAGTTAGGGCCTTCATCGATATTATTTGTGAAATATTGTTATTAATCTGCATGGAAAGGACATTTCTCGCCGTGAGCTTCAGCTCCTGCTTTTGGCTGCGCGGAAAGGAACAACAAAGCAACAAAGGCAGCCCAGCGTCTACTTTCGTGGCTGTATTTGTGTCTGCCGGAAGCAGAGAAATTTTGCGAAAACACATGTAGCCTCCCCGTGGGTCCGAATTGTCTTTGTGTGTGTGTCGTAAGCCCAAATAGCAGCTATTACTTTATCGCCGAGGCAGCACCGCAAAATGGCTGTCTATTGCAGCTAAATGCTGCCAGCGGCTTTGCTTTGCATGTGTGGGTGGGTGGGTGGTTGAGTGGGAGTGGGTGTGAGTGGGTGGGCTGTTAATTCGCTCAGGTGGAAAGAGAAACGACCCGCAAGCAATAAACAAATAATCATAAATAATGTTGCCTTTTTAACATCGACTCTAAATTAGCTATTAATTGCACCGCCGTCACCACTAATTCCCCGCCCGCATTGTGGGTCAGCCCCCACGAAAAACCCACACCACCCACACCACCCACAGCACCCACACCACCCACTTTTCTGGGTGGCTTGGGGGTCATGCCAATCACAGCTGGTTCAATTAGGCTTACGCCTTTGTATGCTAATGCTGAGCCATATTTGCATACTGCCATTCCGCATTTTGCCAAAGTGCGAACCATGGGTTGGATTCGGCTGTGGATCGCAATAAGATAGTTCTCTATATTACATATTTATTGTTATTAGCTTGAAACGAGAATCAATATGTGTATGTTTTGCTAAAGGGAACTCATAAATGCTTTTGGTCGAGGGCTGCATATGCAATCAAATTTAAAATGTACACCCAACATATTGGGAAATCAATAAGTAATGCGACGCAGACGGCTCATCAAAGCCAATTTTAATTAAGAGCCGCAAACTAAACCATAAGGGCGCCTAGTACGGGCAAAACTAAGCAAATATTAAAGCCATCCAGGACGGGGGAGCGCCACTTTAAGGATCTGCGCCCACTGTGCCTGGCGAGGGGCACTTTAAATTTGATTTGATATGATTGCCATGCAGCGGATAATTTCACAGCATGAGTTACCGGGTGGGTGGGGATGGGGCTTAGCATATGCACACGGACTTCAATCAGCTATGTAAAATCTATGTAAAATATTTATATTGCACTGATGCATCCTGGGGGAGCCGAGTCGATCTGGCTGCGTGCGTAGCCGTAATCAGGAGCACGGCATGGCCTCAAGGATCTCGAGGAGTGGCTGCTCGGAATTTGCATAAACATTGCAGATACATGCCGGCCAGAACGGAACCAAGCAGATGAGATGCATTCCGCCCCGCACCGCCCCGCCCCGCCCCTCTTGCACGCCACTTGTTATGACATTTTGATTATTTATTTAGACAAAAGAGTTGCCCAGCTACAGTTCGGTTCGGTTAGGTGCTCGTTATATGGATACGGATCAGACTTCGGACTGCGCCAGAATGGCCAACGCAAATAGTTTGTTTTGGAAGAAAACCCCTGGAATTATTATCAAATAAATGAGTGCTCGAGTAAACACAGAAGGCCGGACGAAGCCGACTCAGAAAACTCTCAAGTGTTCTATTGCTGTTTGGCAGCAGGCAAACTGATAGCTCATGTGCTTATGTCCTTATGGCAAATCCATGGCTGGCAACTTTGTCTGGAGCCGCCTTTGAGTTGGCCATGGCCAAGAAGCGGCTGGCCGCAAATGCAGCATAAGTAAATGTTGGCAAATAAATATGCATGGCCGAATGGAGATACCCGAACATGGCACACGATGCTCCCTGCATTTTTCATGGCTCTCGGTGCGTTTCTCCATATTTATTGGGCAGCCCAATTGCGGCCAGCATAAATCACTTAAAATTTGTGCCAAACAAATACGGCAAAAGCCAGAGGATGCTGGAATTTCATGGCAAAAGTCAGAGGCAAAAATGCTTACGCAAGCTAAACAAGTTTAAATATTTATGCAAATCAACTGCAAGTGAAACATTTTTAAACTTTAATAGCCATAACTGCCTTAAATGGTCGTAGCAGACCGTTTCAAATTGGAGGAAACTTTAAATAATTGAGGCTATCAAGAGTACCAAAAATTGTCCAAAATGGCCAGCAATTTGTGGGTAATAGTGTGCAGAATGCATTAGCAGGTGCATAAGGTGAACTTTAATCAAGCTAGATTAAGTTTGTGCCCCTGGAGGCAGTGTGATTTATTAAGAAATGAAGTCGTTCATTAAATCAAACTTGACAAAAAACTACACCATTCTGTTTGGTGATTAAGAGCAGCCATGTCTTAGCAACTAACTAATAAATCCAGGCAAGATAAGGGATTTAAGGACTAAGGACCAAAATTTGTGCATATAGCAGGAGGAAACTGAAGTCGGAGTAGTAAAATTATAAGAAAATAAAAACGAACTTAAATGAAGCCAGGCAAATGTGTTCCCCAATCCGCCGGAAAATCCTCCAGACACAAGAGTTTGATTTAAAAAGTAGTTTATGTGTGCAGAATAAAACGTGGATTAAAACCCCCGATCCCAGTTTGGGTAGTCAAATGACAGAGGGCCTCGAGGCGCATATGCAAAATGAAAACTTTGCTGCTGCCGCAGGCCACTCAGCCAACTGCAGATCCGAGACCAATGTGTCGTATGCGCAACGTAGAACTTGGCCAGCCGTAAATGGATGCATCTTGGCAGCAGCCGTGAGTGCCACTGCCACTGCCACACGAGCACAGACACGCCGGGGGAAGCGAGGGGGAGAGGGAGATGGAGAAACGCTCAAACAAAACATGATAACAATTAAAACTTTGTACACTTGGCGTATTTACATTATTCATTTTGGTGTTGGATTCTCTTGTCACATTTCGTGCCACTTCTCCTGCGCTCATTTTTTACGCTGCTCCTTTTGTTGCAAGCCACATTCATCTGCAGACATTCAACATGCATCCATGTGTCCACGAATCCGGGGCACACAGTGATGGGCAAGCATAAGTTTTATTAGCTCCACAGAACTCGCAAATTACATAAACAGCATTAGTAAGAGCAAAGCACATATCGATGCAAGCAAAATGCAAATTAATTGGCTCAGTTACTTGACGTTTTAAAATATTTACCTATTGTTTGGTGCAATAAATAAACACTCCCTAAGGAAACCAGTTAGTAATAGTATAGTGTCATGTGTGAGAAGTGAAAATGTTTTATAAAAACCAAATTCGCAGCATGCCAGCAACTTTGAATGGGTAGTTGCCTCCTTTTGGCCACTTGAATGATGCCAAGCCATCAAGAAAATGTGCTGGAAAAAATGAAGTGGACGGCAAAGGGGAAATTGAGACAGAGACAGGACGTTAAGCACTTAATGACATTTTAAAATAAATGTTAAATTTATGACAAAACGTAATTACCGCCCAGAACGAGGCTCGAACGAGGCAGTACAGCTACAGGTTCGCGCCGCATGAAATATGAAACCATAATTACTTTAATTAAGCAAATATTTTGTGCCCGCAATTCTTTTCATTATTCGGCGGGTGGGGGAGGGGGAGGTGCTTCGCGGAGGGGCGCGGGGCTTTGATTGAGAGTATTTATTAAATGGCTATTATTGTTCGCACATCGCGCGGCGCACGGCAATAAATTGATGCATTTTAATTATCGCTTAAAAGGCCGACATTCCCTGAATGCGTCCACTTCGCTGACACATCGAGTTTAAGGACCAATCGACGGGCAGGGAATGCGAGTCTGACAACCTTTTGAACTCCAGAAAAGCAAGCAACGGAATATTTTCCATCAATCGAATGCTGAACAAGCCTTTTCCTCAAGTTCCAGCCACTTAAAATTGCCAAAGTGCTGAATTATCGTTTAAACGTCAATTTTTCCGCCTCAACTCTTTATCTGAATGCTTATACAATAGTATTTGATTTTGGGAATCATGTAATATATAGCTTAAAAATTAATTTGTAGCTGAGCTTATAACTGAACCCAAAAATAAATAGATTAGATAGACTTCCCTACTTCTACGTTCGTTTGATCAAAAGGAATTTGTAGCACAAGAAATATAAAATAGCAGCTGCTGAGATAATATAACTATATAAATGTACATCATCCAAAGTTTCTAGAGAAGATTAGGTGATAAGATGCCCAGATGCACTTGTCGTCGGCTTCGCTTCAAAGAAACCACTGATGGTTGGGAAATCACAAGCGCGATATTCAATTAATTTTATTTGTAACGTGATCAATTGTCGCGTCTATTATAACAGCGAATTGGGTATAAAAGTGGTATTTGTTGTGCAAATATCTGAAACAATACAGCAAACGCGAACAGGAGATTCCTGGATTCACTTACTTTTTAGTTACTCCGAGGCTCTTCGATTTGGTTCGAGAAATGGAAGATTAATAACAGTATGACAACGGCTGCAACAACAAAAACGTTCACTGCAATTATTAATGGCTTGCTTTTCGCGTACGTCATCATCTTGCAATTTTTCTTTGGACAGAGCCGACTACTGGCGGAAAACTATGCGCGTTGTTCCGTTTCGAGATCACGAGACTGAATGATCGAGCCGCAAGAGTCGAGCACAGAAAAGTGCACTCGGCATCGAATTTCACAATTTTCCAATATTGGGTGCCGAGAGAGATAAGAGAAACTCTTCCAGTTCCAGTTCGAATTAAACCGGAATTCGAACTGGAACTGGAAGGTTTCTCTTATCTGACGCTCTTTGCCAATTTACTGCAATTGAGCTGTTATCCTACAAATGTTTAGCTCCCTGAGGAATTGGGATAAGATATTCGGTTTTCACTACGATAACATGATAAATGCCATTTTATCGACGCTACAAAAGAGCTCAACGGAATATATGATAGTCTATCGCAAGTCAGATTAGATCGTTGAGTAAGTCGATGAATTGGAATGCTATTTACGTCTTGTTATGCACACATATTATTTGATCAATTTGCACTCTCGGACGGAATTTGAAACTGTATAATTTCTCCAAATAACATACAAACAGATGCACGGATCATTTAATACGCTGATCATCTTCGTTAAGACGTCTCAGTCACCTAGTTCACTCCATCCCAACAAGTTGAAGTTCAGGTTTCCAAAATATACAAACTGGGGGCCCCGCAGGCACCTGGTCTCAACTCGAATGGTAAAGTCGGTTCCCGGTGGCAAGTGGAACGGCTGGTGGGGATCGTCCTCCCCGCTGATTAGGTCGTGCAGAAAGTCACTTAGGAACTGCGGACCCTCTACCATAAACTTCAGAAACATCCGAGGATTGCGTTTAGCTTTTGAGTCTGGCTGAATGCTGTAGGTGTACAAAGTCCCATTGTAGCCCCGCTGGCCACTGCAAGAAATATAATAATAGTATAATATAATATGATAAATGTAATAAACGCATGTATTACCCATAGTTCTGGTGGATCTTCTCGTGAAAGAGCAGCTCGGCGAGAATGGAGACGAAGTAGATGCGTCGCTGGGAATCCATTGTTCTCATGCTTTCATTTTCCTCGTCAATAACTCCGATGAAGGTGTTGGTCAACTCAGCCTCCACGTTCCAGTGCAGGAGAGTTCTGCCAAATCCCAGGATCCTAAAGTTTCGAAATTGCTGCAGGGATACAAGCCGGTGGTCACAAGCCGGTGGAGACAGGAACCAACTTGTACTCACCCGCAGGAGCCCGAAGACAGCCATTGTGTAATGGAGGCGCTTCAGCTTTAGGCGCTCGGCACTGAATATGTTGAAGGATTGCTCCGTGAGGAAGAGGAAGTGGGCCAGGAACTGGCCCAGATGATCGGCTTCGCTATTAAAAACGGCCTCGCTATCGTGGAAGTGCAGCAGACTGATGGCCAGGTCCGACTCACTATCTGCGTCGGAGAAGTAACTGATGGTTGAGCGCAGGATCTGGGGAGAGGGGTAGCCTCTGAATCGAAAGGGATCAGGCAGGTGGAGGTGGAGAGTAGCCCACCTGCAGCATTATCCTTTCCGCGCGATCGCTGGCCCTCTCCGAGGGTCCTTCCCGATGCGTCGCCTCATAGCTCCTGTGGCGATGCAATATGTACGAGGTGCTGATCCGTTTCAGTTCCTGCGAAGCTTCCCGCAGCAACTTATGGCGGTATAAGTCCAAATGGCCCATGACCATCTGCAACACCTCAGTCGGCAAGTCCAGCAGCTGAACTCGCTTGGCCTCTGGTGCCTCCTCCATTTGACTGGCCAGGGATTTGTGAATATGTGTACTAACTAGGCGTGAAAATGTATTCAAAATGTGTGTAGGAAAACTGTGTGGACAGAAAATGCTGTGTACTTTTAAGTTCTTATGCAAAACACGCCTACTGTTCGGCTCATTACAGTTAGTTACAGTATATTTAGTATATTTTGAACGAAATGATGCACTTTGTGGTTTCTTTGATGTTTTTATGGGTGACCCACTGTGTGGTCTTCTTTTGTTAGTTGGCAAAGTATAATATGGTGTACCAGCGCAGCAGCGTTTCTTATTATACAAGTAATATGTGCAGTCCTGGCGTCGCCAATCTCGCCCAGAACCAGATGCATCCTCGGATCCTCATTCAACACGGCCATCCAGCCAGGTGGAGTTGCTCAGCGCGGAGTACGAAGAACTGCATCGCCGGATCCCATAATTTATGCTCCAAGGAACTGCGTCGCCGGAACTTGGCCAACTTGCGGCCAAGCCACACCAACATGGATGCATCCTGCGTGGCCAACAGGAGAGGCTTTGCCCAGTCTCGAGCGCATGTTGTACATAATAGGTTGTCAAATATCCGCTTTTTGACTCTTTATTCAATGCTTTATCAAAAGTGTTACAGTGATCGGATTTAGTTCAAATATGCGCCGTTTTGTTCGATAATCTGTTTCCATCTAGACGGCAACTTCATAATACCTCCCTCGTAGAAGCCCCCCTCCTTATTTGCGAAGAACTCGGACAGCCACTTTTCACAAGCCTCTTTTGAGTTCAACTTTACACCACCAAGGGCATTCGCCATGGACAGGAACAGGTGGTAATCACTTGGCGCTATGTCCGGGCTATATGGTGGATACGATAAAACCTCCCATCCGAGCTCCCGTAGCTTCTGACGAGTCATCAACGAAGTGTGTGGTCTGGCGTTGTCCTGGTGGAACACTACACCCTTCCTGTTGGCCAATTCTGGACGCTTCTGGTCGATCGCCTGCTTCAAGCGGTCCAGTTGTTCGCAGTAGATGGTAGAATTAAGCGTCTGGCCATATGGGAGCAGCTCATAGTGGATGATTCCCTTCCAATCCCACCAAACACACAGCAAAACCTTCCTGGCCGCCAATCCCGGCTTGGCCACTGTTTGGGACGATTCACCGGCCGGTTTTCGCTTGATATTGTCGTATGTGATCCATTTTTCGTCGCCAGTCACCATCCGCTTCAAGAATGGGTCGAGTTCGTTCCGTTTCAGCAGCATATCGCAGGCGTTGATTCGGTCCAGAAGGTTTTTTTGTGTCAAATCATGCGGCACCCAAACATCAAGCTTTTTTTTGTATCCAGCCTTCTGCAGATGGTTTAAAATGGTTTGGTGACTAACTCCCATCTCCTGGGCGATGTCACGAGATGCCACATGCCGGTCTAACTCGATGTATTCCATGATTTGATCGGTATTTGTCGTCACAGGTCTTCCGCCGGCTGGCTTATCCATGGTGTCGTTTTCACCGGCTCTGAATCGTCGAAACCATTCCTCCGCGGTTCGAAGTGAAACCGTGGTTTCCCCCAAAACACCATTAATCTCACGGAACGTTTCTCTAGCGGATTTGCCTTCAACGAAGGAAAACTTTAAAATAGCGCGAATTTCGGCGCTAGTGAACTCCATGTTTAACTGCTGATAACTGCTGAACACGGCAAAAATGTAATGTCAAATTAATGTCAAAAGAAGTCAAAGCCGCCTAGATTTTTTTAGTCTTTCACGAAATAGCCAAATTTAGTAGCTAAATTTAGTAGTAGTGACATATTTAGTAGTAAACTATATTTTTTTTGTTTAACTTATAATCGAGCATCTAAATTAAACACGAGTAAACAAATAAATAAATTAAGAATTTGAATAATACATTTGACTCAATGAATGCACTGGCAGTGGAGACAGCTTATTTAAGTTTGTATCCCAATCGAGGTTCACGTCTGCACTGAACGTTTCGGTCTTAAAATACCAAAGCGCCTTATCCATAAGGTGCTATATTTATACGCAACGTGACCGTTGGTATTTTAAACAAACATCAGTATTTTTACCCTTGCAGAAAGTTCTATGATTTTACTTTCAGTTTGGTGCGCACTGAAAGCGAGCTAAAATTTGCTAGCTCCGATCATGTTTGTATGTTTTCCATACCATCGCTTTCCTTCATTTTGGCCGATTCCGCTACAACATTTGATGAAACATGCCAATCTTATCACGACCCCTCGTAATCTATATACATACATATATTGCTTAAATTTATATAAAACAAGGGTATCAAAACTTCACTATTCAAGTATTATTTCCTCCAGCTTTAAATTTTGTGTAGTATTTATCGTTAGACCGGTCGGTATTTTCCATTGTTTTCGGCGTGGTCACACTTAATAATAAAAAATTTCTTTTGCTTATTATTTCACCATTTCATTTGCGAAATCCGAGAGAAATTCAAGAGCAACCCGGCGTGCGAGGCAGCGACATTCGTTGTCAGTTCGAGAAACCCATTATTTCCGGACCAAAATTGTGTCAGTGTGAGAGTGTGTCAGTTGGAGGCGGTGGCCACGCAATCCGGGCGACCGATCGTTGGGTAACCTAGCGCGAGAACCGAAAAACCGCCGTAGTCATGGCGTTCCGGCTGCTTGGCACGGCTAAAACGATGGCCGGAATGATGCGGCGCAACTACACGGCGGGTTCCCTGGCGGGAAAGGTGGGTTTATCCCCCACCTACAGGGTTATCTAAGTAAAAGCCCCCACTATTTTACAGGGACAACGCACACACATGGGTGCCACGGGCGCCGGGGTTTACATCCTGCCCATGGAGCTGCCGCCCCTGCTGCGCTATGTGGTCAAACAGATCCAGCTGCTCTGCAAAAAGCCGCCAAAAGGATTCGAAAAATATTTCGAAGCCGGCGGCAAGTCGTCTGGCCAACCGAAAGGATCCGTCGGCGATAAGAAGCCACCTGCGGGTTCCAGTAAATCCGCCTCGGAGAAGCCCAGCGTATCGTCACCCGCCTCGGCTAAGCCCAGCAGGTCCCAAACAGATTCCAAATCGGACTGGAACTTCGGCATGTTCAGCAACAGTTCGAGGGGGCCGGCGGGAAAAGGAGGCAACTCGCTGGGCGGACGACCGCTGGGCGAGAACAGCGGCGGCGGGGACAGGGAGCGATGGATCCTTCTGGGTGCCATCGGTGCCGTCGTCCTGGTGGGTTCGTTCGCCTTCTTCGAGATGGGCTACAAGGAGATCTCATGGAAGGAGTTCGTCAACAGGTGAGGTCTAGAATTACGTGTTGCATAACAGCTCGTTCAAAACATGTGAAATTAGAACTTGTGGAATATATCCATTAATCCATACATCTGGAACTTTCGCCTGTTATGTTACGCTTTGAGTTATATTTATAGTTTTTAATCATATCTCCATTTTCCAACAATAGCTACCTGTCAAAGGGCGTCGTGGAAAAGCTGGAGGTGGTTAACAAGAAGTGGGTGCGCGTACGTCTGCAGCAGAACAGCAACAGCGGCAGTGGCGTCTTGTGGTTCAACATCGGCAGTGTGGATAGCTTTGAGCGAAACCTGGAGACTGCCCAGACGGAACAGGGAACGGAGTCCATCAACTTTGTGCCCGTAATCTACCGCAACGAGGTGGAAGCCGCTAGTCTCACAGGTCTGCTGCCCACACTGCTCATCATTGGCTTCCTGGTCTATATGATGCGAAAGTCCGCCGATATGATGGGTGGAGGCCGTGGACGCAAGGGTGGTGGCCTTTTTGGAGGCGTCATGCAGTCCACCGCCAAGCTAACCAATCCCAATGAGATTGGTGTGGGTTTCAAGTAAGCTGGCGACACTTCACATAACATACCTAATACTTGTTGTACTCCTTACAGGGACGTCGCCGGTTGCGAGGAGGCCAAAATCGAAATCATGGAGTTCGTGAACTTCCTGAAGAACCCGCAGCAGTATATCGATTTGGGCGCCAAAATACCAAAGGGTGCCATGCTTACTGGCCCTCCCGGAACGGGTAAAACGCTTTTGGCGAAGGCCACCGCCGGCGAAGCAAATGTGCCTTTCATCACCGTGTCGGGATCCGAGTTCCTCGAGATGTTTGTAGGCGTGGGACCTTCTCGTGTCCGCGACATGTTCGCCATGGCCCGAAAGCATGCTCCCTGCATCCTCTTCATCGACGAAATCGATGCTGTGGGTCGCAAACGTGGTGGCAAGACCTTCGGCGGCCACTCGGAGCAAGAGAATACCCTTAATCAACTTCTGGTGGAAATGGATGGCTTCAATACCACTACGAATGTGGTCGTTCTGGCGGCCACTAATCGTGTTGACATTCTGGACAAGGCTCTTATGCGACCAGGTCGTTTCGATCGGCAGATATATGTCCCAGCACCTGATATTAAGGGCAGGGCGAGCATCTTTAAGGTGCATCTGGGTAACCTGAAGACGACGCTGGACAAGAATGAGCTGAGCAGGAAAATGGCTGCACTGACACCAGGCTTCACTGGCGCCGACATTGCCAATGTGTGTAACGAAGCAGCATTGATTGCTGCCCGCGACTCCAAGGACTCGATTGTTCTCAAGCACTTCGAGCAGGCCATAGAGCGTGTTATCGCTGGCATGGAGAAGAAGACCAATGTTCTAGCGCCGGAGGAAAAGCGAACGGTGGCACACCACGAGGCTGGCCATGCGGTGGCCGGTTGGTTCCTGGAGCATGCCGATCCCCTGCTGAAGGTCTCGATTATACCACGCGGCAAAGGTTTGGGGTACGCCCAGTATTTGCCTAAGGATCACTACTTGCTTTCCAAGGAGCAGTTGTTCGATCGCATGTGCATGACGCTCGGTGGCCGTGTGGCCGAAGAGCTGTTCTTTAATCGCATTACCACTGGTGCTCAGGATGATCTGAAGAAAATCACCGATATTGCCTACTCACAAGTTGTGCGTTTCGGCATGAACGAGAAGGTTGGGCAGGTTAGCTTCGACGTGGGCCAGGCCGGAGATCCCGTGTTCAGCAAGCCCTACTCTGAGGACACTGCCCAACTGATCGATAACGAGGTTAGGTCGATTATCAAATGTGCCCACGAAGCCACCACTAGTCTGCTGACCAAGCACAAGGAGAATGTCCAAAAAGTGGCGGAAAGACTGCTCCAAAACGAAGTCCTCAGTCGTGATGACATGATCGAGCTGCTGGGACCCCGACCCTTCAAGGAGAAGTCAACCTACGAGGAGTTCGTCGAGGGAACTGGCTCCTTCGAGGAGGACACCACGCTGCCCGAAGGTCTTAAGAGCTGGAACAAGGAAAAGGAACGAACGGAGCCTCTGGACGCTGGCAGCACGCCAACACCGCCGCCCACCAAGCCCGTAACTGCCCAGAGCAGTTAGGCAACGATCTTCGCTCATGTGGATGGGGAGTTTTGGAGTGGTAGTTCGAGGGTGCCGACATCTATTTGTTTTTGTTGTAATCCCTAAACGCGGACCGGAGAAAACCCCGACATGTGGCACATCGAGAGGGCTCAAGGAGTTCCTAGACCTTCTGGAGTTACAGTTCTCCACGACGCGTTCATTATTGTTTTTGCATAATTTTAAGATAGCCCCATGGATACCTTGTTCCAGTGTTGAGCACAGAAGCGCTAGCCTGTACTAAATTCCCCGTATGCGTAGTTTCAGACTGCAATAAAGAATGGAAATGACCTGTCAGTGTGGAAAAACGAAATTAAACGATGTTTTCAAGGCGAAAAATAATTCAGAAGCGTTATTATTGCGGTGTATGGCATACGATAAAATTTCACACACACAGATTTCATTTTGCGATATGAATTTGGTGATTCTTAAGTTGGTACCATCGATTTAAGTAAGATCTGTCATGTAAACATGAAGTCCGCAGGCGCTTTTTCGCAGTGTGAGCTTTCTAAGCTGCACGCGGGTTAAGAGAACGCCGCTCTCTTCGGGGAGCTTTCTCCGCCAACTTTCTCACTCTCTCGCCGGCTACCATTCGCTGCGGCTTATCACTTATCAGCTGTGATGCCGAAGTACATGCGCCATGTGCAGCCGGTAAATAGTGCAACTGCCGCAGTCGCTGCCGCTGCTTGTGCAAAGCTCTGTTGCGGCAGCAGCAACAACAGCAGCGACGGCAGAGAGTGCAGCAGTGCAGTCGACGTCGCTGCCGCCGGTCGTTTTGAGGCCGTCAGTTGCGTTTTGGGGTCTCGCCGCTCAGTGTCGTCTTGTTGGTCGTCGCGTTCGTGTGCGCGCACTGAGAAAAACGGAACGTTAGCGTTGCACTATCCGTTGCAGTTTTTATATTCCTCGAGTCGCCCGATTTCAGAGCTGTTCGTCCCGCTCGTGAAGTGCGTGCGTTTTAACCAAAACAACTACCAAAGCGCGTACAATATAACAAACCAATACAACCCAGAGCCCCGATAGGAAAATCCCTGCTGCGGAGGGCATTTTGCATTTTGTTTACCTCGATGGCTGTGTGGAGTGCAATTTGACGATTATATAATATAAAACAAAATACGAAGAATAGGGCAAACAAATAAAAGTGCGCGGCACTCGATTTTAATTGCAATCAACTACAATAACCACTGAAGAAGAAGAGTTAGAGCGCAAACCTCTCCCTCGCACCCCCGCCCACTCTCGCGCTCGCTCTCACTATTCCATTCCGTTTGTGTTGATCTTCCCTGCAAAATGGCTGCCGGCCGGCAAAGTAACGGCAACATCCATATTTGATCGATAGAAAGGGAGGGGGGAGAGATCCCTAGTGATGTGTCTTTAAGATATAATAATTGCTTTATTTTACTTGGACTAAATTAAAAAAGAAAAAAAAAACAGTAAATGGTAACCAGCAGGATGAACAGAAGAAGTAAGATAATGATAGGCAAACGTTTATTTCTTTTGTCAAGAAAAATATATTGAATTTGTTTGCTATGGCCCTTAGCTGCTTTGAATTCGAATAAAAGGTGTGATAACATATATCAACAATAAAACTAGAATTCGCTCCAAAGCAAAATAAATTTAAAATTAAAAATTAAATTTATTTATTTGAAATAGTGCAATTGTATGGATAATATGACATATCTTTAATCAATTTGTGTTCAAACAACTAACAAAGATATGTATAGTATGCCTCTTGGAAGACATAAAATGAACTTTTTTTTTATTTTTTATTAGCATTCCTTTTTCTTCGTTGTGATCACTTTTACAAAATGACTGCCGTCGGCTATGCTAACTGTAACTTCGATTACTGATCAGCCGAGCGCCCCCTGCCGGCGATCTCTGGCCGCAAATGTGTTCCCTTAGTTCTGCTTCTGTTTTAGTTTACCGTTCATTTTGTTTTATTTTGTGCTGCCAATTGTGGCAATTGTCGGGTCACGTGTTTGTTGCTGCCGCCAGTTAACTTCTGCTCTCGTTGTAACGGTGCATGTTCCCAGTGCGATTGTGTGTGTGTGAGTGTCTGTTCGTGAAAGCTTGCATGCTGCGCGTTATTATATTGTTGCTGCCTTTGTTGTAATTTTTGTTGAGGGAGTCACTGCATGCAATGTTCTTCTTGCCCTTTCGCACATCCCACTCTATCTATTTCTGTCGCTTTCTATCATTTGTTGTTGTTTGTATTGTTGTTGTGGGTGTGGGAAAGATCAAGGCGCGTATTAAGCACAGAAAATGCGAAAAAAGAACACACAAAAATATAGGAAAACAAATAAGTTCGGAGAGAAAGCAACGGAAAATAATTGCTTTAACAAGCAAAAGTTCAAAGCTATAAAATTTGGATGCCAGCATTTTTGAATTACCGAAAAATAGTTTCGGGGAACCTAAGGTGATTCCCAAACTTCCATTAATTTAAAACGCATTTAATTGGTAAAAATCATATTTTCCTACCAATGCTTTTTTATAAATAATCAAAATTTGTATAATTACAAAGCCATCATAAAAAAATCCCGGAAAAGGCAAATCGTAGATTTATAATTTCACTAAAACATTTATATCTTTACTTTTCATCTTTAGTTTTCTACGAAATTCTACGAAAATTAATTTGATGGCTGATGCCATATAAAGTGAGGCAAATTTATTTCAAACAAAGATCTTTTTCAGTCTTAGTACCGCATCCCAATTGTCACTCAGCCGTCACTTAACCGCCCCCTTTTCCGCCCGTTCCTCACCTGGCTTTTCCACGGTTTTCCCCCTCTCTCTTTCTCTCACACATCGGTTGCACTTTTTTGCATTTTACGATTGTTCGTTGCGAATCATTGCATTTTAGGTTGTGGGTGGTGGTGGAGCAGCAGCTGCGGATGGGTGGGAAAGCGAGGGGGAGCGAGTGAAGGGGAAAATTGCATTTTCAAAAGTTTCCCTGGGCAAAGTTTAAAATTGCAATTTAATTAATTTTCACCAAACACAACCGACAACAAAACGAAACAGATCTTTTGCAGTAATATGTTGCCTTTAAATCAATTGGGAAACCAGCAACCGAAGTTAACGCAACGTTTCTAAAACTTAAAGTCTAAACATCAAATAATAGTTACCAAATACACAATAATATTAAAACCAAACCAAAAGTGGCCTGCGAAACGAAGCAACCAAAACAACCAAGAAATGTGATTCAAAGTGTGCAATGTAACCAAATTATAATTAAAAAGCTAAATAAAACGATAGCCAAAGCAGCAGAAAAGCCGCGGAAAATCAGCGGGAAAACCAAAGTCAGACCAAATGGAAAACAAGGAACCCGGCAGCCAATCGAACAGCCAACTAGCAGCCATCGTGGCCAATGATTAAGGGAACACTTTGTTAGCCAACTCGTAGTAGCAGCATCCCCCGTCCACACATAACACCCAGTAACACAGCCACTCAGCCGCACAGAACCACTCGACCTCCCCTCGCATCTCGATGCCCGCAAAGAAGGCGTTGGAGCAACAATTATAGAATAGACAGCCAGGCAACCAGACAACCAGACAACCACATCAGCTCAGCTCGGCTCAGTTCAGCTCAGCCCCAACAGCAAACTCCAAACTCCAATCACCAACTCCAACTCAATCTCAATCCCGAGCCAAAAGCCCCAACATGGACATCAAGATTGAGCAGCAGCAGCAGCAACAGCAAGTGGAGCTGGGACCCTGTTCCCCCTCGGAGGTGCCCAATGATCCCGGGTAAGTGGGTTTTTGCTACAATCGGTATACCCTTCCACAGGGTATACTCTGTAAACTAAGAATATATTTCAATCAACTCGGGAGGGAATGATTTATTTGATTTATTTATATTACTTTACTTGTGCAAACACAGACATATTTAATATCAATTTTTAAATATCGGGAGGTTTTTTCTCTTTAGATATAGATATTTATATTCTATTTACAGTTGTGTAAATATTTACATTAACCTTATCAAATTGTTGAGAAAAGGGCATTCAAGCTTCGAAGTGCCGAGGTGGGCGTGAACTTTTTTATTTAGTTTGAGGTCGTGGACGTGGCATTAATTGTTTAAGTTTTAAGTTTGTCATTATTGAAGCGCAGGGCGCCGGAAGCGAATGAAACGTGGCCTGGGGAGCGGTGTCAAGGCATTTAGAGTTGTTGACAGAAAGTTTTCTATGTCAACTGGGGCCGGAACTGGCCGAAAGCGGCCAGAAATGGACGATGGCTCAGCTGGGGATCCAAGTCTGCGAAACTAATTAGAAAACAATTTGCCAAGGACATCAAAATTCAATTAAAGCCATTCGGCTTAGTGCTTTAGTGCAATGCAGTAGCTGCCCTCGACTCGCTTTCATCCTTCCGGCTACAGTTTATTATCAGTCCGATTCCCCAGCTTCAGCCCCTCATCCAACATTTATACTTGTGCCGAAATGGGTTAAGTTGTGATTGCGGTGTCATATGCAGTAGATTAATTGCGAGCTGCATTGCTGATAATTTGCATCGGTTTGCAGTAGTCTTCTCCGTGGCCGGGGGTGCAGTTCTGCTGTCAGAAAGTCGGACTAACAAATGGATGACCCGATGATTGGCAGCCAAGTGGACTGATTGAAGGTAGTGCTGAATGGACTTTTGACGCAGCCCATAAAGTGAACAACTTTCTGAATAGAGTGCTCTCATCGGCTTGTCGGAATTCGCATCGAGTATAATATTTTTAGTTGATTGGAACTCCAAGGAGGATGTACGTAATGATTACTTGCAAAATTTAGAAACTCACGGAGAGAGAACTGTTTGACAGAAAACTTTATTTTCAAATCGAATCTGGCAAACTGGGTAGGACAACTCAAACGAAATTGATACTCTAAGCAAAGTAATAATAAATTATTATCAGTCAGCCATTTAAGTTGAGCATGCAATATAAACATAGCCATTTCCACGAAAATTAGTTTAATTTCTTGTGCTCAGAATACAAGCAAATACTTATAATTTTAGTTGGCACTTTAGCTAGAATTTTTATGTTGAATTCATGGCATTTCTGTTGGGGGTTCAATTATATTAATAGTGTTAGATACAATTTTTCTACTTGATATTCCTTAAAAACCGAATTTCGGCGCTCCATTCAAGTAAGTTTTATGAGAAGCGCCGAGGAGGGCTCTACAACTGCTGTATGCCAATTCATACCATATAAACCTTTTGTCATTGAAGTGGCCCAGGAAGAAAAGCCAGCACAAAATTGGAAAATCGAGGCGAATGTAGAGAAAAGCCATAGGTACAGCCATATGGCCCGGACAGCCGTCGCAATCCATTGAACACGCAATGCCCATAAATTATGCAGTTCATGCATATACATCCACATAGATGTACGGTTATAAATATATCTATTATCGAAATGCTGCAAATTGTATAACCCAAGTGAATTTCAGCACTCCACAAAGGGGGCGCGGATGCTGATTGCAGCTCATCTTGTCTATTTGCATTAGTTTGGCAAACTCGCAACAACACGAGAGCAAAAATAGGCTGGGCTGGGCCGCCGACTCGCTTTTCCCTCCAAATCCCTTGCCACATTTCTCGTGGCGGGAAAGCGGAGGCTACCGGATAAAAGAAATGGATCACCTGCTGCTCGCTGAGCTCCGACGATGCTGGCAGGTGCAACAACTGCAACTGAAACACCAGAAACTATTGCAACTGCAACCAGTGATGCCCTTTAGTTGTACCAAAAGGTATTATTTTCTCAGTTAGTTAAACATTCGAGCGATTAGCTTGCCTGTTATAAAGATACTTTTTGTCATTATAATAATACAATTAATACGAAATTTTATGTTAAATTTTTTTTTTGGATTTCAGAATCAATACTTATCAAACAATTTTCATTTTTAAATTTATGTGAATCGTAACTTTTTTTTTTTTTTTTATTGTTACTCGTTTTTTACGATGTTTTGGTAAATCACGTAGCTTTCCCAACACTGAATGCAACATGAAGTTGAGTAAAAGTTTTGTGGCGATGCGAATGGGAAATGTGGCACCTAGCGAATGTTGAATGCATAAATCTTGAATTAATTCAAAATACCTTTTGATGACGCTGCCCAGATACACAGATGCACATATACAGATGCATCCGCATCTCTGCACTTGTATCCGAGTCTCAGTATCTTTCCCTATTTTCGTTGTGCAACTTGGCGAATATCGTTGAAAACATGCGAATACAATTCCATTCACAGTTTCGTTGACTGGCGCGGCGATCGCCACGGCTCAGTAAATTTGAGCGCTACCGCCGCCCCGTTCCCGCTCCCCAACCCGCTCCCCCTCCCGACACCCAACCCCCTTTGCCACCCGCTCTTTTGGCAAACTTTATAAATCTTTTGAAGGGCCCACGGAAAATAAAAGAAGCCGAGCTGCCTGCTCGGCGCAAAATGGCAAAGTAAATAAACACAAAGGCGAAAGAAAATGAAAATAAATCAAACCAAACCAAAAAACAACACACAAAACTTTGAAATAACTAAATAAATGCCCTGCTATTAATACAATTCACTTTGCCAATGTATTTTTAGTGCAAATGCAGCAAACATCATGTGAGAGAGATCGTTCTGTGGATTGATCGATCGCCATGATACCTTGCTTGCTGATTTAGGATTAGTTGCAATTCTCTTGTCCCAAATTAGGAAAACATAAATTAAAAAAAAGTATGACTTTAAAATAAATCCTTAAAATAAATCCTTAAAATAAATCCTTGACTTAAAATCCTTAGCCAAGCGAAAGAATGAGAATAAAACATTGAACATAATTAAAAAGATTCATCATAACATATTCGGGGGCTAAGTGATTTCAAATAATTCTGCTAATTTTCCCAATCCATTTTGTACTTAAAACCGGTGTGCAATCATTTTAGAACAGGCAATTGAAAACTCCCCCTAAAATGGTTCAGCCAAACATATCCTGTGCCACTTCTGAACCTCTGAGTGGAATCAACAAGTGCCGTTGGGTGATTGTCACACCTACGTATCGCTAATCCCGCCGCCGCTACCCTTTTGACCCGCTCAAGAATGCCTCCCATCTGCATGCGAGTTCGACAATTATCCATTAGAAGCGAACCGAGGCAAACCGAGCAAGAAATGCAAACAAGAGCAAGAAAAACTGGGGAACACACTGGTCCAGGCCCCTGCGCCATTTAACGTGGCCCCAAAAATTGTGCACCGCATCGACAGACGACTGTCAGTGGAATTGCGATTGCGATTGCGATGCAATTGCACTCGCTGTTCTTTTCATAATTGTCGTTTTGTTTCTCGTCTCTGTCGCTCTCCCGGCGCTTGTAATTGCGGCTTTGTTACGTTCCGTAAATTGATTCATTGTACGCCGTGCTTTGAGCACGGACTGACCCACTCCCATTCGAATACCCAGTGGCAGTGCCAGTTCCAGTACCAGTGCCATCACCATTGGCCATATCCCCCGTGTTTGTCTGATATAATTGCTTTCAAATGATTTTGTGTCGTTGTGTGCGCACTTTCATATAGCCCGTAATTTTGTTTGTTTGTCCGTAACCCGTAACGTAAACGCAACTGTCATTGTCCGTATTCCGCACGGTGTCCGTATGTTTGTCCGTTGTACGGCATAAGCTTCCATTTTGTATGCATAATGAGGCCTGCGGCAATTTGACTCTAGGATGGCCATTAGCTTAAAGTGCCAGTTTTGTTGTGTTGGTAGCATCCCTCTCCCAGGCGAATTTTGTTTTGCCAAAACACTCATGGTAAAACCATTTCCTTCAAACAGAGCTGATCTAAATAGACATATTTTCAGTAACAATTAATTTTTCACTCTTTTGTACCAGACTGCCTACAGAAATATTCAGCTTAGAATTACTTATCACATTTATTTGGTTTGCTAAGCAAATTGAGGCAAATAAATCAAAATCTAAGCAAGGGGTCATTTTGCACCAAAATTAATTTAACAGATATTTCTTTAAATGTTGTAACATACAAATGAATAATAATCAGGAACAAATGCTCTGACAAGAATGACTTTTAGGTTAAGTAATGTTTAATGCCAAACAACAAATATTTAAAGCAATAATATTAATAAACAATAAAATAATTCAAATTAAGATCATCTATTTTTTTTGTAAATTTGTTCAAGCATTTTAGTTCTCTATATACATGGTTGCTTTTCTCCAAAAGTAAGTTAGACGATTTATAGTTGAGGGTTCAACTCCAGTGTTTATCACAACAATTACAGGCGATCTTTTATCGTTGTCTGTGCCAAAAGTCAACAGTTGTCCGTTGTCTGCCTTTAAACAGTTTTAAATATGTTAACAAATTGCAAAATATTTGCGCTCGATGGGCTTTAAATGTTTGTTTGCGGATGAGTTGTGTTTGGCTTGTGTTCCAGCATTGTGCATATGTAAATTGGCCATTTGTCTGCAGTAGCCGTAAGTTGTTATGGTATTTATGGGTGGATGATATCCACTGGGCCTGAAAAAAGAATGGGAAGAGGGAAATGGGAAATGGGAATCCACTTAAACCGCAAGAATGGCAAAAACTTTTCTGCCGTCCCACGATTGACATTATCAAAATTCAATTTACAATCTCCTCGGAGTCTGACACGCCGAAAAGAAAGTTTTCATTTGCCTTAGTTGCACTTTTAAGTAAACAGTTCGATTAAAATGGAGTGACTTGAGGAAGTAGGGGGCTCCAAGCACCATACTTGGCCTAAAAGTACATTTCCCCACACCATTTCCCATGTGTACATATATTTTC